GAACTGGGCTTTGTTTGGAGTGTCCTGGACGAGCAGAGGGAACTAATAGCGCGTGAACAAGTCTAAACAGAAACATACCAAAGAGCAGGTGGAGCAGCTTGAAGCACTGGGCCTCGTTTTGAACTTGGGTAGCGGAGCAGCATCAATTCACACAAGACCCTTTCAAGCATGCAAAGTTATTTTTGAATGTGAAGACATGTACAGACCACATCGGGATGAGCAAAAAGAATACGACTCCAGGGACATGCATTTTCCCAAGTCACATCAAAAGTATTTCTCCTTGCATTATTGGCGGGTCTTCATCGGCCTGGCACCCCAGTACCTGCCTCAAGGTCCTGTGGTGCTCCGCCCACGATTGCGCACAGCACTTGGCCGAAATCCTCCTGTGAGGGCCAGGCCCAGACGGGGCGACGCGTGGGCCGGGAAGCGGGGGCGAAGAAGCCACATGGAACCTTGGAGTGGGAGAGGTGAAGATCCATACCAACCGGAAGCTAGGATTGGATGATATTTAGGTATTTGTATAGTGGTTTCAAGGTTAGAGTGTGACATGACCCAGAAGCATCGCGATGTGAGTTTTGAGACACTTCTGATGCTCCCAGCGAGATCCCAATTTCCAGCAAGCCAGATACAGTACACTGCTTTGTTAGGGCCGCTTGACTCTATCACCAATGACAATGAAGGATGCACTGTTTCTTTTTCGGTCGAAGCTCCAATCCAGCAACAGAGCCTGCCGTGGTAACTAAACAAGTTCTGGGTACAACCCGAAAGGCTCAGGCATTTTGGTTCGATTCCTTCTAGAGATTCGTCTGCACTCTTTGGGTGACAATGTTTCTTGAGCAAACATGACGAAAGACTACGATGTTGTGGGCAGTCCAAGTAATTTGAACGATTTTCAATCTGTTGGTTTGCTTGATTCAAGCGTGATGATCTTCAGGATAGCTTGGGCTTCTTGTTTGGCTTAGGAGGTGTTGCACATCATCCCAATGGTCATCCGGCCAAAGCCCTTCAAATGGTTTTGCGGTCCTCCTATTTGGACAGGACCATGGGTCTTTTTGCCCGCTCTATTGCGTGAGGCTTAGCCGGTGCGATCATAAAGCCTAAGGCTGCTAAGGGAACGATGGCAAAAGTGCTTGCGCTTTCAGGAAAACAACGGATGAATTCTACTGTGGCAGTTCATGAATTCTGTCGATGGACCGTCCAGCCTGAACTGTTCAATGGGTAGCAGGAGGGATTTGTGGCTCATAGGACATGTTTCCAGCAATCAGGCCGCAGGGTGAAGGCACCGGACCACACGTGAGACTTGTGTCATCTTGTGTCCCATTCCAACCGCTGGTGGGTCATGGAGAGAAGCACTCCGAAAGTGAGGTCACTTGCGACGGGTTTTTGGTCACTTTCAAAGGAACAGGGACCCAGGACTGATTTCGGTGCGTTGAAACCATTGGACCTCGAGCTTTGACTGCCCGTCGCGAGTCGTCCCGGCGATCGCCGTCGCGGCTTGGCGCACGTGACGTGGTGTTGAGGTGATCCTGGATACTCCCCGGGTGGATTGCTGGCGACTCAGATATCAAGTGGTTTGGAAAGGCCAGGTTGTGCAAAATGCTGGATTGAGTTGAGAGCTGTACCCGTCATAGGCTCGAGACCAGCTCACTTTACGGCTTTGGGGCTGTGTGCCGCGGCCCTAGGCCATCCTTGCTTCCTGGATCTTTAGGTCTGGGCCTTGGCGATGTCGACATGGCACAGCCTTAATCTGCAGAACCTTTCCAGGAAGATGTCCTGAAATTCCGAGCAGCTCCCGCGTTCATTTGATGATTTCAGGGAAACCGGTCTCGGGTTGTCACTCTGGTCAAAGGTGTGGTATCAGAAGAAGCTGCCCCCATTGTGGGGACATCCACTGGTGGAGAAATCATCAGGTAGATAGAAACATAATCTGGAGCAGATTCTCTGGAAATCCATTTGTTGGCAACCGAACCATTGGTCCAGCTGCTCACATGTTTCGCTGAGATCCCAAAAGCTTGCGTGCGGGGGCCCAGCTGCTGTGCTCTTGGAGAAGATTGAAGTGGAGAATGTCAAACGTCTTGAAGCCATAAATGATCCATTTCTGGAGGATGAACATGTATTACCTATTCGGTTTGTTCCACTACAGTGGGAAGCTTCGGCAGGATACAAGGGTCCAGGTACAAGGCTCCACTGCCTCCTGGAATCTATCAACTTGTTGGAACCTGAGAATGTGAACTGTTTGGTTCAGACTAATAAATTGTACCAACCCACCTCTCCACATCGATCCATTGCCCCACCGCCGCCGGCCACGCCGTAGTGCCGCCAAGTGCCGCGGGACCGAGGCGATCAGCTGGCGCGGCGGAGCCTTCGCTGCGTCGCGGGCGAATGGCAAGGCCCCGGCTGCTTGGAGGCGCCACGGTCGTGACCACGGACGGACGGGCGGACGGACACAGTCTAGCGATCCTGAAGGGATGTCATGGATGGAATGCAAACAGGAGAATCTGGAAGTTAAGTTAATCAATAAAAATAATGTTCAGAAGATTTGCGAACCGTTGTTTTTCACTCTTAAGTGCGGAGGGGTTTGATCACAAATATTGAGTGCCTACACACGTGTTGAAAGAATATCTTGACTTTGCAATGCCAAGTTAGTTGGGTCGTTTTTGGAAGGTGAGCTTCGGGCCTCAGAACATACAACCGAAGCTTCCATACCGACCAACACCCCACCCCACAGGCCTTTCCCTGAGAGTCGTCTCCTCTGCCAGGCCGCTTGTGACCAGCCTCCCGTCATTCGGAAGGCCACCCCGAAGTCGCTGAAGGCTTGCGCCCGGGGACCCCAACGGCTTCAGACTTTTCCTTGGATGGGGCATCCAGGGCATCCGGGGCTGTTGTCAGGACGAAGAGTTGACATTTGGGTGAACGGTAATGTCAGGAGCCACGACTCTTGCTCCACTTCTCTCTTTTTTTCTGGTGCCAAGTTTTGCAAATCCAGCAGAGTTACCCATGAGCCCTGCACCGATTCCGCGAACAACTCTCCGCACGCCATGGCCATGAAACTACTCGCGAATGATGCAAAATCCGACTTTCAAGCCAAAGGCCCTCCAAGCATTCAAAGCAGGTCGCCAAACATTCCAAGGAGGTTTGGAGATCCCAGGCGGGTCGAACCACTGTTTAGTGCTCCAAGTTGTTTAGGCCTCTCTTGGATCACCATGTTCACCTTGCGGAGCAAGACTTTGGTACGGCAATATAGAGACGCTCGGTTGTGGCTCCAGGTAGAATGTTATGATCCACTTGGATCATGATTCATGATATGTTGTTCCATGTTGTTTCTCTGGTGGTGCCACCAGCCAATTCACTGTTCACTCACCCTCACTCAGAGTTCACCTCAACCACCTCCAGCTCGCGGAAACATCAGAAAAAAAGGAGCAATATCTTCCATGCAGGCCTCGCCCGCATGGGTCCAGCTCAGATGAGTTGTTTCTCTAGTCAATCATCACGATCCCTTTTTTTGGAAAGGGTCGTTGAAAACGCCGGAAAGGTCCTTGAGTCTTTAGAAGCCTCTGCGGTCGTTCATCTGCACGCCACATGGGCCCACAACGATTTGCGAACACACAGAGCCTTCCTCAGTTGGTGGCTTGGCCAAAAGACAGTGTGGAACCCATTGTTCTTATCGTTCTTATGCTGTTCTGGCGCTTGGACTTGAGAAACTGTGCTGTTGATCGGTAGGTGCTGGACTTGTGGAGTCGAGATTGGGGAGGCAATCTGTCCACCTGCTTGTAGGGTCCCTTCACAACTGCCTATTGCGAAATGGGTGGATCTGAATGAACAATCCCACAAAAGATTCAATTCCCAGGTGTTCAAGGCCAACCAGGGGTTTCGGGATGAATTCGAGAACACCCTGACGAACACATTGTTCTGTAGATTGCCATGAGAAGTGCTGCTTTGCTCCCAACATTGGGTGAACTCCATCCAAAAATCCATGCGGAACACCTCGATTTGGAGCGTCCCATTTTAACCGTCAAATAGGTTGCTCGCTCCGAGCCCCTTCTGAAGGGGGTTCCCCCAACATGAGAGAGGGAGCTGAGACGGTCCAGCTGGACCCTGTTTCTTGGACTCCCTTGTAGCTTGAGACATTTAGGTGGAAACTCATCTCAAAAGAAATGATTTTGAATGGCTAAAGACCTTGTTGGAAATTTGCAGGAGATGGCAATCCAGAGACGATCCATGAATCAAATACTTCCTTAGGTCATGTTTCGTGTTGTTTCGGGGCGTGTCATGCTTGTCACTCACGCCAACCAAGACTTGGAAAAAGCAGATTAATGATGTACTATGATTTACTCATCTTTATCCCTATGTTGAGAAGGCAAATAGTTCATACAGCTAATCCGGATGTCCAAAAATGTCCACAACCCATTGTCATAAGCTAGTCAATCGCCATGGTTTACTTGCGGCTTTTGCTCTCCCAGAGATAAGCCTACAAGCTGAAACTGAACCCTTGGCAGACTGAGCCTCTTCAGGCTTAAAAACTGCGTTTGTATTTTAACAAAGCAAAAAAGGCTGCAAACCTCCTTCCCTGCAAAAACGGATTTTCATGGACGGCAACCCTCTTCGATTCGTCGTCCTCGTCGCCTTACCCAAGGTTGGACAGGCGCCGGACACGAGGAGATATGGCAGGGCCGCCGTGTGGGAGCTGAAAAGCCCAGCAATTGCTTTGACGAACTGGATACCTCCCAGAACCTCCAAGTCTTCTGGAGGATCGTGGAGGGTCTTTTAGAGATCCCTAAAGAAAAAGAACTAACTCCAAGAGGGTGCCGTCAGAATCTGGGCACCCATCGTGCGTAGAAGGTCCAGCTGACCGATGCCGCTCGAATTAGCTCCTCCCACCGTTGTGGTTCCCTTAAAACAGAGAAAACCAAGAGAAAGCAGGCGCCTAGTAGCGATGGCCTCCAACCGACTAGTGACTAGCGATGGCCTCTAAGAAGAGCTGGCGAAAACGAAGCTCTTTCGGCTGGGCAAATCCCAGGAAGAATGGGGTGCCTCCGACCAGATCACTGCCACTCTTGCGTGGCTGGGCACTGATGAGTTCGCAACGATCCGACTCCGGTGAGGTGGCACTCCGACTCTCGTGGAAAGATGATGTTGATCAGATAGTTTATCAATGTTTATCAGTATATCTGCGCTGAGCAAGGATATTAATATATCTTGCAAGCTGCTCTTTGTCCTTCCCCGAGCATTGGGAGGCTCCTGAAAAAAGGATTGTGTGTCACACTCATATGCATCCAGATGAAGTCATATAGAAGCAGATGAATTTACTTACAGGTGACCTTGCTTCTGGTTGTCCACATTCGCTTTGAGTTTGCTTCACCAACGAGGAAACCAACCAAAACTGAGGTTGTACAAAGACCGCCAACTGTGACATCAAGAGGTTGAGGTCAGCTTCCACAAGCCTTTGACACCCTCCTGTCAGAACATATGTCAGAACCTGTCGAAGACTATGTTAGCAGCTGTTAGCTCGTGGAGTTGACGGTTTTGGTTGGTTTTCGAGTGGTTGATGTCAATGTGAGAAGGCCCAAAACTCCCCTAGTCGCCGCTGATATTTCTGCTTTTCTGGCCAGTGTGGCGCCAAGTTCTGAAATCTGTTGAGGTCCGGGTCCGATCAGAACAATCTGTTTTTCTCAGAAGCCCCCTCACTAAAGGACTGCCTTGGTCCTCAGGTCAGCAAGAAGCCAATACCTTACGAGCTGAGCAGAAGAAGAGGAGAGCAGGGAGGGCGAGGTCAAGTTAGGTTCTGCTGAATGACTGTCTTATGTAACTTGCAGATCGACCAAACCCTTTTTTGATCACCGCTTCGTTTTTGAAACAGAGATGTGGGTTGGTGTCAAAATTGGGGGACTGCCCAGGCCCCCGCAGAATCTGTGGTTTGCAGGGCTGCTTCTTTTCCTCAACAGAGTAGAGCTGTGGGAGGATTTATACAAAGAAGAGGCTTCTCACACTCTTCACCCCAAGCGAACACCGAAAGCGTGGTGATGATGAACCACTAAGGGAGTCAACGCTGGAAAACCTTAAGACCTTCCCGGTTTAGGCATCCTTGATCCTTGCACAACAAGCTAACGACTGCACCAAATCTCTGCCGCTCAGTGGGAGAAACAAGAGTCGGGGAGTTCCGTCATAAGGGGAATCAGTATGGACCGATTCAATCTGGGTCGAGCGTCAAGTGAAGGGTTCCAATAATAATTGTGCTTCAGGGCAGTATCACCCGGCCTTTGTAACCGTGCAGCGCGGGTTACTTTATTGTACAAACCTTGGGCGAAGTGAGTGAAACACCATCCAATAGTACAATAATGTCGTTGAAATGGCCCCGGGGGGGTCTTCATCTCTTTTCTTGGCCGCCCCGGCAAACCACGGGAAAAGGTTTAACGCAATTCGCGAGACTCCCAGAGTTGGTAACGCCGAGTCGCACCTGTGTGGGCTTCTTCGTGCCACTGCCACACTTGCAGCAGAAAGCCTTGCGGAAGCTCGGCGAAGATGGTGGTTCCGTGTTCCGGTCGATTGCGCGGGGGTTGTTTTTTTCGGAAAGCAAGCACAGCTTCGAGTTCACCTAGAATCATTGTACTGCTGGACTTGGTGACATGGAAACAGAACCTGTTCGGGTCGGGTCTCTCCTTTCAAATGAGCGAAGTGGCTCTACAAGATCTAAGTTCTTGAGACAACCCCTGGAGAGCCTCAGAGGCTTGTTTTTTGGTGGTTTGCAAGCAAGCCACCCCCCAGCCAACCTGATGTGTCGCTGCTTTCCCAGCGATCCTCAGCACATTTGTTGCTCATGGGTGTGACTCAAAAAACAAGACCTAAGACCTAAGGACTCTCAAAAGGTTCAACGGGTTCCGATGGTAGGAAAAAAACGTGAGAGCCAAGGAAGTCTTGTCCCAATCCAAACACCCAGCGAGGCAGAACACCATCACCCGTGCTGCCAAGCTTCAGCATTCGCCGGTCTCAGAGTGGAGGTGCATCGCTGGGCGGCACCGCGTCGCTGTTTCTGTTGCGCGCAGAGGATGAATCGGGTGGGATCAGCTTGGTCAGTTTGACAAACCTTCCAGGTCCGGAATAAAACTTTGCCAGTCATAGACATGCTGTTCATGCACAGGAAGTGGGGCTGTCCGCAGCATTCGACGTGATAGATTGGAGAAACAGATCTCTTTCGTGGGAAGCCTGTCAAGACTGAATGTAGCTTGCTCGTTTTCGGAAGTCCATGTGCAGAAGTTGCTGAAAATCTGAGTTTATGAAAGTTCGGGCCTTGAAAAAACACAAAACCGACACTTTAGGGTTGACTGCCCATTGCATTTCAGAGCAAAATTGGCGAAAACACCCGCAATCGGAAACCCTCCTTCGACAGAAGAGAGGGAAACAGAGAGAGGGGGAGCGAGGAGAGAGAGAGAGAGAGAGCGAGAGAGAGAGAGAGAGAGCGAGAGAGAGAGAGAGAGTGTGTCATTCGAACGCCGCCAGGTTCATAATGTTCGCTTTAGTTTATCTTCACCACTTCAGTTCAAAACCTGTTCGCTCTTTCATTCGACCTACCGCTCGGCAAAATTCCGTCGCCCAGGTTCCTCCCCTCATCAGGATTTCGATAGAGGGCGTCCATTTTGTTTGGAGAAAAAAGAAGGGTTCAAAGACGAACGTTCCCCCCACATCCCCCCACCGATTTTCCGATGTTCGCCCAGGGACATACGGCCTGGCATCTACTCGTCGAAGGACGTGGTTGCTTGGCAGACATTGGCGTTTTGTTCGGGCCAGGGATGAATCAACTAAAGTGGAGTAACAGTTTTCTCAT